AAAATAGGCCTTAATTTTTTTTTCTCATATTGCTTTCATTTCCTATTTTGTGTTGCATTTTGTGGTTGAATATATTTTATATATGTATATTCAAGACTTCCTTTTCGTGATTTCCTCTCGTCAAGAGAGAGAGAGAGAGAGAAAAAAAAAAAAACCTCGAGTCTTTTATACACTATATACTCATATGCTCCATCTACTTCTTTCTTCAATTTCTTCCATTTAAATAAATTGCGATGCGCATAAAGTTCCTTCTATATTTGCAAGAAAATAGTGAATTGTTCCTTTTTACTTGTGGTTCCAGTTCAATTCACAATTTTCTCCGTTTCTTGATGTATATATATATATGTACATTCTCAGACAATGCTGATTTTCAGTTTATTTTTGAGTTAAAGAATTTTGTCCTGAAAAGTCGTGTGTATTTTTTTTTATACAAAAAAAATTGCTGTGCTATATTATTTTGGTTGGTAATTTAAAAGAATTCGTTTTTTATTCAATTTTATGTTTTTTTCTGCAATTGTAAAATAAAGTTATTTTTTTTTTACACTAAAACAACCAAATTTTTTTTAATCAATTAGAATTTGATTAAAACAACCAAAAATTGCTTGAAGCAACCAAATTTTTTTTTAATCAACCAGCATTTGATTAAAACAACCAAAATTTGTTTAGAACAACCAAATTTTAATTAAATTAACCAGAATTTGATTAAAACAACTGAATTTCTTTCAATTAATCATATTTTTTTGTGAAACAATCAAATATTTTTTTAAATCAACCAGCATTTATTTAAAACAACCAAATTTTGATTGAATTAACTAAAATTTGTTTGGAACAACCAAATTTTAATTGAATTTGATTCAAAAAACTACAAATTGTTTAAAACAACCAAATTTTAATTGAATTAACCAGAATTTGTTTAAAACAACTAAATTTCTTTCAATCAATCATAATTTTTTGTGAAACAATTAAATATTTTTTAATCGATCAGAATTTATTTGAAATAACCAAATTTTGATTGAATTAACTGAAATTTGTTTGAAGGTACCAAATTTTAATTAAATAAACCATAATTGTTTTTAAAATGAATCAAACAGAATTTATTTAAAACAACCAGCATTTGATTAAAACAACCAAAATTGGTTTAAAACTACCAAATTTTAATTAAATTTGATTCAAACAAACTGCAAATTGTTTGAAACAACCAAATTTTAATTGAATTAACCGGAATTTGTTTAAAACAACTAAATTTCTTTCAATCAATCATAATTTGTTGTGAAACAATCAAATATTTTTTTAAATCAACCAGCATTTATTTGAAACAACCAAATTTTGATTGAATTAACTAAAATTTATTTGAAACAACCAAATTTTGATTGAATTAACTAAAATTTGTTTGAAGGTACCAAATTTTAATTAAATCAACCATAATTTTTTTAAAATGCATCAAACAGAATTTATTTAAAACAACCAAATTTTGATTTAATCAACCAAAATTTCTTTGAAACTACCAAATTTTAATTAAATCAACCAGAATTTGTTTGAAGAAAAAAAATTTTGTTTAAATCAATCAAAATTTGTTTGAAATAACCATATTTTCGAATATTTAAAAATTTGATTATTTTTTTCGAAATATATTTAGAAAAAAAAACTCAACTTCTAAATATTTGCTAAAAATATGATATATACCAAATAATCGTAAAAATTTCTATATTTTCTTTGTAAAAACATGGAAATTGATATCTACTATTTGGAAAAGTGATTTAAAATAACGTGAAGTCAAATTCATATTTTTCCGGTTTCTATTTTTGAGAAAAACGGGTCACGAGGATAAATAGAATTTGAATTTATTGAATTTTCTTCAAAACTACATATATATATATATGCGGAGAATTTTACTTTCTGGTATATAATAATCTTCCTTCAGTGAATATTTCATCGAAGGGTTTAATAAAATATATGCTGTATATGTTTTTCTTTAAAAAAATATAATATCCAATGTATTTTTCTCGGAGATAAGAATAGAAATTTTTTTTCTACAAACATTAACAATAATCTAGGAATTTTTTTTTGTAATTCTGTTTAAATAATTACATTTTTACTATATTTTTTTCCTTAATTAATTTTATAAGAATATAGTAACTTTTTTCCGCTTAGAATAAGGTGTTTATTGTAACTGAAATTGATTAGAAACAGTTTTTTTTTAAACTGAAATTGATATTTTTGTTGTGTCTGACTAAATATTGACTAGTCTACTTAGAGAAAATAATTTTTGAATGTGTCTGACTAAACATCGAATTTACTACTTAATTTGTTTCAATTTGACTGACTAAAAACGGGAGTTTTCTACTAGAAATAAAATTCCATTTGTCTGACTGAATATTGACTTTTCTACTTCAAGTCAATGTTTCGAAAGTCTGACCAAAAATTGCCTTTTCTACTAGAAGCAATATTTTGTTTACGTCTGATTAAGAATTGATTTTTCTACTCGGAGAAAATAATTTTTAAATGCGTCTGACTAAACAGTGGATTTACCACTTTAAGTGAATTTTTCGATTTGTCTGACTAAAAACTGTGTTTTCTACAAGAAATATAATTCCATGTGTCTGACTGAATATTGAATTTTCTACTTCAAGTCAATGTTTCGAAAGTCTGACAAAAAATTGACTTTTCTACTAGAAGCAATATTTTGTTTACGTCTGATTAAGAATTGATTTTTCTACTCGGAGAACATAATTTTTAAATGCGTCTGACTAAACAGTGGATTTACCACTTTAAGTGAATTTTTCAATTGGTCTGACTAAAAACTGTGTTTTCTACTAGAAATTTTTTTTCTGTGTCTGACTAAACAAGGAGTTTATTACTTTGACTCAACGTTCCAAAAGTCTGACTAAAAATTGAATTATCTAGTTGGAAACAAACAATTTTTGAATTCGTCTGACTAAACATCGAATTTACTACTCAGAGTAAATTTTTTCATTTCGTCTGACTAAAAACTGAGTTTTCCACTAGCAGCAATATTTTCTCAGTTCCAAGAAACTTTAGTCAAAAAAACTATTCAGTTTTATACCCATAAAAGTATTTTCCAAAAACTATTTCTCAGAACCAAGTAAAATAAAGATATCGCGAATATTTTTTTCTCTTAAAAAAAAATAAAAATAAATACAGTCTACATTTAAAAATTATAGTTCCTGAAGATTACTTCCCGTTTTTGTATATATGAAATGAAAGAACCAAGAAAAAAAAAAAGAAACACTCGTGCATTTATATACGTAACAATAAATTGTCTTTCTCTCTCTCTCTCTCTCTCTCTCTCTTGTGGTTTCTTAGTAGGTTGTACATTATTTCGTGCAACGACCCTTACTTAGTTTGTGGCTCTGAATGTCGCACTAGTGCCGGTTAGCATACTGCCGAGATACGGTGCTTATGGTTGTAAAGGAGCACTGAACCGTATTCATCGTGCGATAGTCGGGGACGCCTTGCACGATTATCGATAATGCTCAGGGAATTCTCGTTAAGTCGTCTGCGGATAAAGTTATCAGGGATCAGACACGTTCAAGACTGTGCACCAGACAGAATTTATCATAACAATAGATAACCTTTCGAATCCTTTATGTTTACTCTCAAATACCAAATATAATATACAGGTTGATTTTTTATGTTCCGGACCCGAAAAAAATGTTTTTTTTTCCTAAATCGACTGTTTTTGCCCCGCGTGGAAATGAAACTATGCACTGTAAAAAAAAGGAGTTGAATTTCAACTCCCAAGGGGATGCTATAAAAGTCCCACCCTTTTGGAGTTGAAGCGTAGGGAGTTAATGCTTTGCGAGTTAATTTTATGCCTAGGGAGTTAGTTTTAAGGAGTTAATTTAATTATTAACTCCCTTTTTGAGTTGATTTTTAACTCGAAAAATTTAACTCCCAACTCCTCGTGCCGTTAACTCCCTAATTTTTTTTACAGTGTGGGTAAAATCATAAAAACCAACGGCGAAATCGATTGCCAAGGAAAAAACGATTAGACCCATGGTTTAAAACTTGGCAAAAATCTCAAAAACCATTGCTTATGTCCGTTTCCCATGATACAATTTCCTATAGGAAATTTTTTTTTAATTTTACGGATTTTTAACCATATTGCTAAAATCTTGGAAACCATGGGAAAATTAATTTTTTAATTTTACTAATTTTGGGCCATTGCTAAAAATTTACGAACCATGGGAAACAATTTTTTAATTTTACGGATTTTTGACCATTGCATAAATCTTTCGAACCATCGGAAAATTTTTTTTTTCTTTTTTTTACGAATTTTGGACAATGGCTAAAAACTTGCGAACCATGGGAAAATTATTTTGTTTAATTTACGGATTTTTGACCATTACAAAAATCATGCGAAATATGAAAAATTAATTTTAAAAAATTCCTAATGGTTCGCAAGTTTTTAACCATGCTCCAAAATCCGTAAAATAGAAAAAAAAAATAATTCCATAGTTCACAAGATTTTAGCAATGGTTTAAAATAAAAAAAAATTATAAAACTTTTTCCCATGATTTTCAAGATTTTAGCAATGGTCCAAAATCGGTAAAATTAAAAAAAAATAATTTTTCCATGGTTCGTAAGATTTTTATCAATGGTTCAAAAACTGTAAATTTAAAAAATTAATTTTCCCATGGTTGGCAACTTTTTAGCAATGATCCAAACCCTCCCCATAAATTTATTTTATTTTATTATTTATTATTATATATTTGTTATTTAAATTTGAGCCTTTTCACAAAATACGTAACGTTTTTTTTTTTTGAAATTTCAACCCCCCTCCCTCCCTCAATGTAACGCACAGTTACATAAATTTGCGCCATTTTTTGGCTGGCTGTAACAAATAGCTTAACCCCCCTTTCCCCTCCTGGAAACGTTACGTATTTTGTGAACAGCTCCTTTGTTGTTATTATTATAAAAAATATATATATATATATATACATATATGTTATTAAAAAAATATTTCTCTTTTTTTACAGATTGACCTCAACCAAATTGACGTTTCCAGTTCAATATTTCGGTGAGTTTTAATTTTTGACAAATGAATTTTCTATTGTGATAACTTTTTTCATTTCTTTATACAAGAAGGTTTTTTGTTTGAAACATTTTTGTTTTGTTGATTCAATGAAAATTTGGTTATTTGAAACAAATTTTGTTTCTGAATGTATAAACTAAATTAAAATTTGAAAAATGCGAGATAAAACTAAATCTTGTAATAGTAGGAATAGAATTTTTCTCAATTATTTTCTAAAAATGAAAAAGAAAAGAATCTAAATAAACGTTTTGTAAAATTGAAGAGAAAAACCGTTTAGTACCGGAAACTTTATCAAATTTCCGCAGATTATTTTTTCTTTTTTTTTTTTTTTTTTTACAAAAAAAGAGTATAATTTCCCAGGTTGAGAATTAGATTTTAAAAAGTGATACCAGCCATAAAAGGCACATATTGTGTGTTTTTTGGATGTGTAAAACATGGTCTCATTCGGAGAAGTATAATTGAATGGTGTAGAGACACGCGACTCGAATGAACGAGAGAAAAGTATATATAGAGAGAGAGAGATACAAGGGAAAAATGTTGGAATAAATAGAAAAATTGTTGTTAAAAAAAAGAGAGAGCAATAATTTTTCCCGTTAATTTTTTTTAATTTCCAATTAATATTTTTTTATTGATTATTTTGAATATTTAAATTTTTTTCCAATACACTGAAAAAAAAGTCTGGTTAAAATAACCAGAATTCTGGTTAATCTAACCAGAATAAAAAGTTATATATACCCTTACTACTTTTTCTGGTTAAAAGTACTAGAAAATTTGGTTAAAAAATTCTGGTTAATTTTACCAGAATTTCAAGTTAATCTTACTAGAATTTCAAGTTAATCTTACTAGAATTTTTCTAGTTAAAAATTTTTGGTAAAAAAATTTCTGGTTGATCTTACCAGAAATTCTAGTTAATCAGAGAATTAATTAAATTTATTATTATTATATTATATTCTAAAATATTATAAAATATGAATTAAAAAAATTTGTATTATGTACATATAAATGCAATCAAACAATAACACCTTTACACTGCAATTCTCTTAATAATGTTTATTTAAATATGATTATTCAGAACTAAAATTCTGATAAAACGTGTCGAACACGTTTTCAACATAACCTTCAAACTATTTTCCACACGAACGGGTTTGCCGTTCGTCAACAATTTTTTCACTTATATTATAAAATTAATTAACCATCCTTTAAACAGATCTTTTAATTCTCCCAAACCCCAATTTTCCAGAGCTTGGTTAACTTTTTCATCCATTCTTGCGATCCGCACGATAAACTATTCGAAAAAGAACAACAGACGCTATGCAGTGTCCGCGAACGCGCGTTTTTAACCAGAATTATTTTAACCAGAATAATTTAACCATACTTATTTAACTAGAACTGTTTAGTCTTTTTAACTATATTTTCTTGTTAAAATAACTAGAAATTTTTTAACCAAACGCATCTAGTAACTTTAACCAGAACTTTTTTTTCAGTGTATATTGAATTTTTTTAAAGAAATGTTTTTCTGTTTCCGTAATGTGAATAAGAATAGCTTGAGGTACTTTGAAAGTTGTTGTCCATAAAACTTGTAGTTCTCAACTCTCCGGAGATACATTTTAATAGTCTAGGGGACTAGACACACAAATCAAACGATACCGCTTTCAAAAATTTTACATCAGATAGACAATTTCTTTTTTTTTCCTTTACTTTTTTTTTTATATCGCTTTTTCTCGTCACTTTTATTTTAACTAGAAAAAAGAAGGTAGAGAAACAAAATAACAAAATAAAATTATTCGTAGGCCTGAATAAAAGTAGTGAGAAAATGTTTATTAATTTAAATTAAATAATTTTCGAGTCATTTTTTTTTTACTAAAACTTTAGTAAATAAGTAAATTTTAAATATTACTGAATTATGTAGTTAATATTTTACAAAAAAAAAAAAAAAAAAAATTATTGAAAAATTTTACATAAGTTTTAGTCATTTTTTTAGTACAATTTTAGTAAAAAAATATTACTAAATTATATAAATTATATAAATTATATAAGTTTTAGTACTTTTTTTCGTACAATTTTAGTAAAAAAAATATTACTAAATTATATAGTAATATTTTACAAAAAAAAGTGAAAATTTCTACTAATTTTCACTAAAATTTTAGTAAAAAAAAATTACTAAAAACTTATTGGGAATTTCTACTAATTTTAAGTTATTTTTTTTACTAAAAATAAATTACTAAAAACTTATTGGGAATTTCTACTAATTTTAAGTTATATTTTTTACTAAAAATGAAGAAATAAAACTATTTCAAAATTAGCAATTATTACATATATATTTACTATAAGGGGAGAGTAAAAAATCTAGTTAATATTATTGCTCACTCTCGAGAAGGAGAAAAAGCAGTAGAGAGGATTTTCCGTGCAAGTGTATGTGTATTTTTTTTTTCGCTATATATGAAAGAATTGTATTCACGTGTACATGAATTACGTTATGGTACCGCTCGTTGGGAGTAGGTGAGAAATTGTAGAATGCTTTTACGTGGATGGCAAACGGAATTACAGACTCCTAAAGCCGATATAACAACTAAATATATATATATATATATATATATATATATATATATATATATATATATATATATATATATATATATATATATATATATATATAGTTTCAACGAGAGTCAGCTTGCACGCATGACTGACGCTTCTTTAGTCAAGTATAGAGAGTGAGAGAAATAGCACAAGAAGTGACCAGTATAACGCTATATTAAGTTAGGTTAGGTTAGGTGTGTGTTCTCTCACTCTCTAAAAGCTTCACTGGGCTTTTCAAGTGCTGTATTATTACGTTACTCCCCGTATTATTCTTATCTGAGCTCGCAGCCAAGAAGGACGCGCTTCATCCCTTCTGCCGGCTCAAAAACCTTCACAACTTTCCGGCCTTCAGTCTACGTTCTTATCTTTCGAACCGATGCTAGCTTTCAACTACAGAAACTGCAATCTTCACTTCAAAAGCTCTGATTCTCAAACACTGTGTATATATATATAGAGACTTTCAACTTTTATCGGTTCAAAAAAAGTTGTTCAATTCCTCACAACAGTGCAAAAAAAGAGGGGATCTTTTTTTATCTTGTTAAAATTGGATTAAGTTTTTTCTAAACTTGAAAATAGAGGTAGAAGGCAATCGAAACGCGTCGGAAGTGATAAAGTCAATTTTTAGTCAGACGGAATCAAAAAATTGTCCTCAGGGTGGAAAAGTTTTCATAGTCAGGCAAATTGTCTTGGTGTAGTAAACTTAACGTTTAGGCAAACACATTTAAAATTATGTCTCCAAGTACAAAAGTCAATTTTTAGTCGGACGAAACCGAAACATTATTCTCTGGAAGTAGAAAACTCAACGTTTAGTCAGACTCGTTTAAAGTAATTGTCTTGAAGTAGAAAAGTCTATATTTAGTCGATGGAATTCGAAAAATTATTGCCTCGAAGTAGAAAACTCAAAGTTTAGTCAGACGCCTTCAAAATAATTGTATACAAGTAGAAAACTCCATTTTTAGTCGGACGAATCCGAAAAATTATTGTCTCGAAGTAGAAAACTCCATTTTTAGTCGGACGAATCCGAAAAATTATTGTCTTGAAGTAGAAAACTCATTTTTAGTCAGACGCCTTTAAAATAATTGTTTACAAGTAGAAAACTACATTTTTAGTCGGACAAATCCGAAAAATTATTGTCTCGAAGTAGAAAACTCCATTTTTAGTCGGACGAATCCGAAAAATTATTGTCTTGAAGTAGAAAACTCATTTTTAGTCAGACGCCTTTAAAATAATTGTCTACAAGTAGAAAACTACATTTTTAGTCGGACAAATCCGAAAAATTATTGTCTCGAAGTAGAAAACTCCATTTTTAGTCGGACGAATCCGAAAAATTATTGTCTTCAAGTAGAAAAGTCTATATTTAGTCGATGGAATTCCAAAAATATTTTGCCTCGAAGTAGAAAACTCAAGGTTTAGTCAGACGCCTTTAAAATAATTGTCTACAAGTAGAAAACTCCATTTTTAGTCGGACAAATCCGAAAAATTATTGTCTCGAAGTAGAAAACTCCATTTTTAGTCGGACGAATTCGAAAAATTATTGTCTCGAAGTAGAAAAGTCAATGTTTAGTCAGACGTAAAAAAACCATTATTTTCTAGTAGAAAATTCAGTATTTAGTCAGACACAATCAAAAAATTGTTTCGAGAGTAGAAAAACATAATTTGTAATCAGCCAAATCGAAAAAAAATGTTTTGAAGATGTCAAATTTTATGTTTAGGCAAACAAATTCAATAATTCGCAAAATATAGAAAAAGTGGAAAATTCAATATTTAGTCAGACGCGAGTATAATTTTCCAAAATATAGAATATAGTAGAAGAGTCTATATTTGGTCAGACAAAATATTGCCTCCAAGTAGAAAAGTCAATTTTCGTGTAGCCAAATTTAAAAATTGCCTTTAAGTAGAACGTTCGATTTTAAGTCAGACACAGCTAAAACACCTCTAAGTAGAAAATCCAAAGTTTAGTCAGACACATTTACATTTTTTTTATCGAAATATAAAAAAATAGTATAAAATCCTACAAATCTTTTATTTGTATATATTAGAACCACAGTTATAAATTAAATAGAATTTATATAATTAAATATTCAATTCGAGTGCATATAGTTTAAACCCTTTAAATCCTCAAAAGTTTCAAAATGAAGTACTCGTGTAATTTTATGTAATTTACTTGGCGAATTATTGTATTTCCTTATGTAATCAGTGGCGTTTTCTCTTTAAATATAATCTCCAACCAATCTCCTGTGATTCATTGTAATTCCTGGTGCAAGCTATTGGAAAGTCCCTATATAATCCCCAAAATTTCTCGCAGACTTTTGCCTCTAAAGCTTTTCTAATCACTTTTTAAACTTTTAAATCTCTTGTCATAATCCTTTAAAGTCACTTAAAACTTCTTTTTTTTCCAAATGGCA